TCAAATTAAAGTGAGAACTGAGATTCATGCTTTTCTTTCACAGAAATTATTATTAAAACTGTGAAAACACATGTGCTCTTACATTATCGCAGGTACACACCATAATTATATATTATTTGCCGTCTTGCTAATGCTTAACAAGATGTGGAATTTTCATCTTCAAAGCAGTCCATAAATGTTAATCACTGTGACACTTCTGGAAGATTAGGAAGAAATAGTACCTACAATACAAAGGTAAGGAGACAGAAGAAGCAAGATTAAGTGATTTGTCCAGGAGCACTAATTTGGCTTTGACACTCAAGGGTTCCCGTTTGGAGAGAACATTACATCTATTTCTCAGAGTCTTGATTTCAAATATACATTAAGGCTCCTGGATCACTAAGATGCTCACTTCAAAGTTACATCCATATTCCATTGAGAGATAGCTTCAAAAATCGTGTAGGACAAAGCTGGGAGACAATATTTAGGTTATGCATATTTTCCTAGAAAACATAAAATGTGCTTCCTGGGTACTTAGTTTGGTTGAGATAGAGATATATAGATAAAGTGCTATGTGAAATAGGACTCTTCAGTTACAAGTCCCAGAAAGCAAGTGGATTAGTTCAGTTACAATTGGTGAAATGGTTCCAGGAAATATACAGGTTGCCCAGTTACACCTGAGTGGCAGATAAACAACGAATATATTTTTAGTGTGAGTTTATCCCAAATATGTCAGTATCATTGTATACGTGTTAAATTCAAGTCTAACTGGATATCTTGTATTTTTATTTGCTAAACCTGGCAACCCAAATCAAAACCCAATTTAAAGACGCTTAGGCACATGTAGGAATTATTGGCTCAGAAAACCTAGGAAAGGTTTAAACAAATAAAGGGTTAAAAAGGTCAAAGATACAGCAAGTCTAAAGATCATTGAGAATCAGCATCATGGACATCTTCAGCTTCTCCCTTCATTGTGCTTCACTTGTTGGCTTCATAGTCTTTTATTGCAGACTTGCATTACTGGGAAAAATGCTTGAATTTATTGAGTATTATATCTGAAAAAAATTGCCAGTGGTGAGAAAATGGTCTAATGCTCTTCTTACTTCCAGATCCAGAAATACAAAGGAAGGGTTGTGATTGGTCTAGACCTAGCCAAGTGCCAATCTCTGTAGCAGTTGACTATGGTCATTCCAAGGGTTTATAGAAAAAATAGCACCTTCCACAGAAACTATATAAGTAGAGTAATACTGAGAAGCTAAGAAAAGGAAGAAAAAGGGCTCTAAAAAGATCATGCTCTTCCCTGACAAAATGGTGTTGTTGTTGTTGTTGTTGTTGTTGTTTTGGCAGGCAAAGAGTAGGCTACAAACACAAATATACAATACAAATTAGTTTAAACAAAACAGGATTTTATTAAATGGATGCAATACTATCTTAAAGAACACACAGGGTGCAAGACATCCAATATTATAAAAGACCTGGATGGTCAACAGGAAGACAATTAGGACACACAGTCTATACCTCCTGTTTATCTTTTCTTCTCTATTTTAATTACCTCATCTCTATTGATTGTTCTGCCTATTTCTGGTCCAGGCAGTCACAGATAAATACCAGTACATAGTGCATAGCTACTAGAAGTACATCTCATAGACAGCATGGCTGGGGACAGGGAGATATTTGAGAAAGTTTAAGTATCTATTACATTCTGGTATTTTGAAATAAAAACAGCATTACTACTTATTTTCTTTAGCTCTAGGCCCCAGGAGAAAGTATATATTTTCATCTTCTATTATTTCCTTTTCCAAATTAACCATACCCTTGGGATAACCATTCTTAGGGAAAACATGTAACTTAGTCATATTGATCCACAGTACTACAATGATCCATAGATCACTGAATCTACAGTCTGGGTGGTCACATTCTATGAATTCTACAAGCAGGGGTTCCATACGCTTACCAATGAAATAACAATTTCTTTTAAGCTAATTGCCAAAAGGTTTTACTCTAAAAAGAACATTCTAACAAAGATGCATTTGTCATGTATACTTATAGAATATGACGAATTTGTGGCATGAACAGCTTGTCTCATTGACTTAATACTGACAAACATTCAATTTGAAATTTGAAGAGGTAATGGTGGTAGTTACAAGGAAATGAAAAGCTCCAAAGCTTCACATTTTCTTGGCATGACCTCTACAACAGCATCTGTTCTTGTCTTTTTTTTTTTTTTTATTCTTGAGTAATACTAGGAAGTTGCTAGACCAGATGAACTTCCTATGACCTGTTTAGTAGACCCAAACAATTAGCAAATGGTTATTCAATCACTCCTATGAGTAGAATTATGCTAGACAAGTAGACTATCATGACCTTTTGATTTATTTTATATAACTTTCCACATACACTTCTCTTGACAATGCCTGGCACATAGTCAGTGAGAGGTGATGACGGTCTGCGGCGAGGCTTTGCATTATCTTATGCAAAGATGATGTGCTGTTATTTTCCATTGTTCCCAATTCCAGTCACTAGACAGTCTTCACCTCTGGACTTGGAAGGACAAAAATTGCAGGCTCTATGTTCCTGACTGTTAGGAACAATTAATATAAATGCTAAGTGAGTGGATGTGATCATCGAAGGATGTATAAGGAATGAGAAGAATATGAAGTGGAATTCTGAGGTACACCGGTGTATAACGAGTGTACAGAAGAGGAGTCCATGAAAGAGACTGAGATTTAGACTTTCAGGTGGTGAAAAGGAGACCAAGAGAGAGTCATAGAACTGAAAAAAAGAAATACCAAAAAGGGATGAATGAACAGCATCAAATGGAACAAAGGGAATACTGGAAATCATCTGTTGAATTTGTCAGGTCAGAAGTCAACAATGTCATTACTAAGAGCAGTTTCAGTGGAGTGATAAGGAAAGAAATCAGAACGCAGCCTATTAAAAAGAATAGGAGGTGGAAAAGTTTAGAGAATGAGTATCAACTAATTTTAAAAAGGTTGTGTATAGCCAAACTAAGTATAAACACTAATTTTGCATATTCTAATATGAACTAGAAATTCCATAAGCTTAAGAATACTTTAATTTAAAAAATTCACCAATGACCTGATTAAGACTCTAATTATTCCTAGGAACTCAAAAGAGCAATTGCTATACCTCAGCTCTTCTTTTTCTTTTTCTAATGATACCACTTATTTCTTAGTCATTTCCAAAGCACCTACCTGGAAAGTCAACCCAACAAAGGGAAGAAAAGAGAAATTATGTATCTGAATTTTCTCCCATTTCAAGTCATTTGCTGACATTTTAAAATTTCCCCCATCCCAAAATAGAAGACATATTGTGTCAGTATTTTTTGTTTAGTTAATATGGATTATAGAAAATAATCTATCAACAGCTGGTTCTGTCATTGTTTTCTTACTAAGGATGTTGTTCCAGATTACCAAAATGAAATGAAATTATAGGCAGAAGTTTATATCATTCTGTCTTTGTTTTAGAAACTTCAGTATTCCCTTCTTAGTATGTTTTATACTTATCTAAAGTAGTTATGCTTTCTCTAAACCCATCTTCTTGGAGGTCCTATCTAAAGCACTTGTGAAGAAAGACCTGATAAACTCATTCACCCTAACAAATGACGGTGAAAGCAATCTAATGTGCTACCTCTCCTAAGATGGCTGCATATGCAAGAACCAAAGTCCAGCAATTAATTTCAATTTGAAGAATTAGTTGTATAGGACAATGAAGCATCACAGCTACACATGGTCCTATCAAACTCTCACAAATGGGACTTACCCTACCTAAATATAAGGCAAATATTACATTGTGTTTTCAGCTAAAAGAATATATACCTTCAAGGGGCACCTGGGTTGCTCAGTTGGTTAGGCAACTGCTTTCAGTTCAGGTCATGATCCTGGAGTCCTGGGATTGAGTCCCACACCAGGCTCCCTGCTGAGCAAGGAGTCTGTTTCTCCCACTGACCTCTCTCCTCTCATGTTCTCTCTCTCATTCTCTCTCTCTCTAATAAATAAATAAAATCTTAAAAAAAAAAAGAATATATACCTTCAAGAAACAGATTTCCATGATGGAAGGAAATCATTTTTTGTTGGTATTTTAGAAAAAATCAACTTTTGTTGGTAGTTTAGAAATATTTTCAATGAGATAATCACTAGATTTTGATTTAGACATATGCAATGAAACAGTTGAAGATTTCAAAGGAATTTGTGTACCTACCAAGATGACTTTTGACAGTGTCACAGTTCCATCGCTATTGTTCTTGTGAACATGTGAGAGCATTTTAAAGAAAATGGTGGAGACATCTAAATTAAAGCTTCTTCAATGTGGATCAGGCTGTTACCTAACTAACATTTTCAAGGCTTCTGCATCCTTTAGGTGAATGGCAGGCTTTAAATGGCAGCCACAAGACAGCTCATGAACATGATTACAACAAAACAATATGCCTTAGATAAAGATTTTCAGTAATAGCGCTCTCTTGGCTTAATAAAATCAAGCACCACTTACAATCAGTACTTCACTTTGCTTTTTTCTATCATACAGCATATTGGTGGTTCTGTTCTTATGGTAGATACTTGCATAGGTGTTTATTTGTACTCTCCCACTGTGTAGGTACTCAAACTCTCAAGCTTCTAGCTATAAAATAGTGACACAAAATGTAGAATGAATTTTTATAAGCCAGTAGTCACCATCATTACTTAATATACCAAAATTTTATACTTCTCAATATCATTTTCTTTCTTTCTTTTTTTTTTTTTAAGATTACATTTATTCACTTGACAGAGAGAGAGAAAGAAAGCAAGCACAAGCTGGGGGAGCAACAGAGAGAGAGAGAGAAACAGGCTCTCCACTGAGGAGGGAGCTCAAAGCTCCCTCCTGGGATCATGACCTGAGCCAAAGGCAGATGCTTAACCAACTGAGCCACCCAAGAGCTCATATCAATTTATTTTTACTCATATTCATATGCATTGAAAAAGTCTTCTGACTTTGAATTTAAGTGTTAAACATTATCACCAAAACTGCTCACTTCAGCAGCACATATACTAAAATTGGAATGTTATACAGAAGATTAGCATGGTACCTTCACGAGGATAACACAAAAATTTGGGAAGCATTCTATATTTTTAAAAAATGATCACTGAAAAATATAAGCCACATAAGTGAAAAACAACTACCCTCAGTCTTGAAAAATCATATAAAGGATTTATGAAATGTACAGACCATAGGAAATTATTTTCAAACAACAGGTTTGATTACAATTTAATCAATAATGATATAATGTCTAATTTAGAAATTTTTATTTGAAAAATGAAACGTTTGTCATTCTATTATTCTGTTAGTAAATCATCTGGATTGAACATCTTTGGGATCTTCAAAAGTACAGAGTAAGATTTAGATTTGTCTTTTGAATTTTTTCAAACATCATTCTCCTCTAAAATTATTCTCATGCTACAGCTAACCACTACCTACTTTAAGTTGAACAGAAGTATACTAAGTTGGACTGGGACATAATAAAAAGATTTTATTATTGATTTAAGGAATGATGAAATACATTTTGATATAATATTTAATTATTTCATGAAGCATTACTTATAGACTACCAGTATGAAGCCCATTAAGATCCTCTCCTTTTTTACTTCCTTATTTTTTTTTAACTCTTTCTATCCTTCTTCTACTCAATTTTTCTCTCTTTGGAAGACACATTGTCAAAACATCAAAGTAAGGGTATTCTAGGATTGCCTGTACTTCTGAAAGCTCAGTCTTCTCTGCTTAGCCAGAGAAGCCAGTATCTCTGGCTTCCTTATGGTTTTTTTTTTTTTGTGTGTGTGTGTCATCAGAACTGAAGAGCTCTGTGATGGTAGAAATCTAGTTCAAAAGCCAAAGAATAGTTAAATAAATTGGGTGGCATAGATATTTGAGAAGACAGGTAAGCAAGCACTTGATATTACACAGGCTTTTTCATGACAGGAAAACCTTAACTTCCTCAACTTCACAATTAAACAAGATAACTCTATGCACTTCAAAACACATTCCTGACTTAAGAATCACAGTGGAAAGGAACTGCCATTTCTCCAGGGCTATAGGGAAATTGTGCAGGGGGATCTGAATGGAAGAAGGGGTATGGAGTTAGTGGGGTTGAATATTAGGCAAGCAATGAGTGTACCGACTAACAAGGGGGAATTTAGAAACATCTTTGATTACAAGGTAGTGCCATTTTCTTTTAAAGATTTTATCTATTTATTTGACAGACAGAGATCACAAGTAGGCAGAGAGGAAGGCAGAGAGGGAGAGAGGAGGAAGCAGGCTCGCCATTGAGCAGAGAGCCCGACGTGGGGCTCGATCCCAGGACCCTGGGATCATGACCCGAGCAGAAGGCAGAGGCTTTAATACACTGAGCCACCCAGGCGCCCCAAGGTAGTGCCTTTTTAAATGTATGTTTGCTCATCTACAATGCTTAGGGGGAAATTTTCCTATTGCTGTTTGTGTTTACTATATGGTAATTTTGAAAAGTTACCAATGGAAGATTTTAGAATCCAAATAAGTAGATTTAAGAAATTAAACTGGTTTCCATGGTGCATAAAATCACAGAATAATATCCCACAAAGATTTAGGAATATTTATTTATTTATTATTTGTCAGGCTCATAATGTGGCTTATACTGAGTATGGATAATTTTACTATAATATTATATACAATAATTGTATTAATTGTTGTGGCTTTGGATTTCAGAGGGGAGGGTAACAGTCTCAGGTTTAATCTTATTTTTGGGTAATGAAGATGAAGTGCATTTGAGGCATCCCTAGATTCTAAACAACTGGATTCTAAACAACTGGAAATCCACTTGGGAGAAAAGGCCATGACAGAATGAAGGCATAACCTCCAGTGCCATAGCAACTATTTACACATATCACTGGGCCTGGTAAGGAGGGCACAAGGATATTTTCAGAGAAAAAACTGCCAATACCTGCCTCTGACTTAATAAGGGGTAAACCCTCCATGTTGTATGTCTCTAGGATCAGGTAGAGCCTTTTGAGGCTTTCCTAAGCTAGATAAATACCTATAGCTACATCCATGTCTCTATCTATCTACCTTAGAGATATAATTACACGGGGGATATTTGTTAACAATCAGGCTAGCATTTACCCAGGATCCAGTCTAATTTGGAAGACATCAAGCATTTTCCACTCCTATAAACTTCATTTTCAGAACTGGGAAGAGTAACTGCTCCCATTTGTCCACTCATCCTGACCATCTCAAAATTATTCTCAAAGTCTTAGGAACTCTTTCAACTCAAACAAAATTGGATTGGGGAAACTTTTTCCAGTTTTGGTAGTATTACTGTACTAATCCAATTCAGGAACATCCATCCAAAATACAAAGTTTGGAAAGGAATGAGTTAAATATAATTGTTTTGCTTCTATTTACGCTTTTCGATTTTATTTTGTTGTGTTTTGTTTTTTGAAAACTAATCTGCCTTCAATAAATAACCAGTAACTATGTATCAATTGAATAGAAGAAAAACATACTGGTCAGTGGCCTACCCAACAATCTATGCTGTTTGCCACCTACAGAGCCACATGTACTAAAATGTACTAAAAAGACTGTACAGGATATAACTAAAATGAATCCATTGTGAGATTTCATACCAAGTCCAGGGTGTTCAGGGGCCATTATTTGAATAGCCTTGAGCAGTGGCTGTTGATACAGGTGGCTATAGAAACAACTACTTTCCAGGAATTTGGGCAATCAGCTTTAATAAATGTCTTTCTCAGTACTTTATTCTAGAGACTGGAGAGAGCAGGTGTCCATCTGAGATACTTAGAGAAGTCACAAGCAACCAGTTATCTTTAAGTAAGGTACTAGATCTTAAATATAAGATTAAAAATGTGATTCTGGGGGCGCCTGGGTGGCTCAGTGGCTTAAAGCCTCTGCCTTCAGCTCAGGTCATTGTCCCAGCGTCCTGGGATCGAGCCCCACATAGGGCCTTCTGCTCCACACAGAGCCTGCCTCCTCCTTTCTCTCTCTCTGCCTGCCTCTCTGCCTACTTGTGATCGCTGTCAAATAAAATCTTAAAAATAAATAAATAAATAAATAAATGCTGTTACGACCTAAACCATGAAAGATATTTTGTCAATTGTAGTTAGTTAAAAAGATACTACCATTTCTCAATATTTCATTTATTCTTAATCACTGGCAAAATGTCTGGCCTTTCATTAAGAGATTTAGGTAACAAAATGAGGGCTTTTTAAATACATATTAGCAAGCTACATTTATACTCAGGGACCTATAATATATATGAGATGTATCTCTTAAAGCCATTCACTGCAAAGTAGATAATTGTATAATAACTTATCAGGACTTGGTCTACCCACTGGTAAAATGAAACTAAAAACTGTTTCAGAGAGCTATCTGGAGATTGAATGGGTAAATAGAATAAAGGGTCTAACACACTGTCCACAAAGCAAGCTTCCAATAGATTTAATTATCATTAGTAAATGAGATTTCTCTTTAGTTACTAGTATAGTTTGGAAAATTCAACTATATTTACGTAGTAGTCACTTAAATGATATTCATTATTCTGAATGACCTTTTCTTTGTTATAACCTCTAACCAATTTAGCAGAATTACAAAATTCTTCAGATTAAGCTGGGAGTAGGTAATAGTTTTCCCTTCTTACTTGTCCAAAAGAGTAATGGTAAAAAAACCATTCTTCTAAACCCTGTTTTACATCAATGCATGTCTGTGAACTTCCCTCTGACTATTTCAGAAACTTCTCTCAAGTCGTTATAGCAAGTCCATCCAGGCTTCAATTCAGCACAAAAAATATCTAGTGAATGTTTACTATATTCAAAGTATGAGTAAACTCATATTTTATATGAGTTATAATAACAAAGTGAACTTTATAAACTCTGTTGTCAGAGTTTATGAACAGTGTATAATTTATATTACCAAGCTGCACATTTTAGTTAAAGTGAGTCTGCAAACTTTGAAATGCCTGCCTCTATAATGTTATCAGCAACCTTTAAGTTTAGATCAACTTTACTCCTTGCTAAACTTAACAGAAATAGAGCCAACTTTTCAAATACCATGCATCCTTATTACCATATTTACAGATGAAGGAAATGAAACAATGAGGGTCAAGTGAGTTGCTCTATGATTAATGAAGCAAAAAGTAGAACACATTGTCTCCTCAGATATTTAACCAAGAACTCTAGAGATAGTAAATTGTGAGCAATTTAAAGTTAATGGAAGTATTGAAACTTATTGGAGCAATTTTGAGACAGGTATTCTAGTTAATAAAGGATGCCCAGAAGCAATTTTAGTTATGTGTAGTACTCGTTATGCTCTCAGAATGGTATAGTTGGCTTCAAACAATGATTAAAAAATAGAAATAGTATCCATCAAAGGATATATTTTCTTCTTGAATTTACTGACAAAAATAGGTGCTGATGGCACCCCAAATAAGAGACTGGCATGGACCAATATCTTCTCTATGAAAATGACTAATGCATTACAGCATTTCTGCCAAAACTTACATAAAGAGATTGTCGAAAATGATCATATCATTATGAGCTAGTGTTCCCAATTGTTCAGTTTGTATCACATAAGGATCCTCCAAAATGCAGAACTCCTACCTACAGAAACCCTAATATCATTATAAAACATGAACTTTTGCATGTTTCTGAAATGTTTTAAGAAAACTGTATTTATTCTACAATAAACAGACATATTTCCCTGGTGTCAGTTAAAAAAAAAAAAAACCTGCAAAAAAAAAAAAAAAAACGAGAGTCAAGTTTTAAAATTTGTATTTGGAAAACCAAATGAGAAGACAAAGAAAATGTGATGTAGGGATATAAACCAATCAGCTTTGTTCTTTCATTTCCTCTATATTTTTAGCTAATAGCCATCTACCACCAAACATCTAGCGCTAACCATTTGGTCATACAGGGTCACTGATTTCTCTTAATTTGTGAGGCTTTTTAAAAAATTGATTTACTTATTTTAGTAGGGGAGAGAGAAAGAGAGCAGGGAGAGGAGCAAAGAAAGAGAATCTTCAAGTGAACTGCCCACTGGGCGTGGAGTCTGACGTAGGGCTCCATGTGGGGATGATCTCACCACCCAGGA